CCTTCTCCCTAACTGCCTGAAAGGGATCTAGAAGAGGACCTGCTCCAGGAGGGGAGCTCAGCACAGGCATCTGTAGTTTAATAGGAACTGGGTGGGAAGGACAGAGAGGACACTAGCAAGGCCCTCTGATCACAGTCCCATTGTTAAAGTTGTCCCAGCAAACATCTGTTGTCCATTCCATGTGAATTGCCTTCCTCCCCTTTCAAGTCCCAAACCACAACTCCCCCTCTCTCTTTAGCTCTGAATGGCACCTAAGCCTCAAATGCCCAGTCTGGCCTTGGGATTCTCATGGCACAATATAAATCTGTACTAATAAAAGGGTAATATGCAAATTGGTCACAACGCCCTCTCAATCACGACCAGATATGCTAATTAGTCACGACCAGTATGCAAATTGACCATCACTCCAACACACAAGATGGCCGCCTCCATGTGGCCATAGATGGCCTCCAGGGGAGGGCAGTTAGGGGCATCCAGGCCTCCAGGGGAGGACAGTAGGGGGCGACCAGACTGGCAGGAAAGTGGTTAGGGGGTGATCAGGCTGGCAGGCAGGCGAGTGGTTAGGACCAGAAGTCCTGGATTGTGAGAGGTATGTCCCAGAAAGGAGAGGGTGCAGGCTGGGCTGAGGGACACCACCCCCAGTGCATGAATTTCGTGCACAGGTCCTCTAGTACCTAATAAATCTCATGTGTAATAAATATGTCATGTTCAATGAAGGTGGCTGTTTGCTCCTGTTACCCTGTCTGGTGTTAATCTGATTTTAGTCTAGCCAGAAGACTTAGAAAGGTGTAAGGAAAATGTGTTTTCCACACCCACCCTGTGCTTTGCTTTTCCTGGTATTAAGGGGTCCAATGGCATGGGAGCATCATCAACCTCCTCATCAATAATCACAACGCCCAACTCTTAATTTTCATCACATTCCCTGAGATTCTACCCCTTCCCTGCCAATCAGACTTTGTCACAAGTGCTTGGACCTTAACCTGAGTGAAACCCAGAAGAAAGGTGGCAAAACCGATTTATAGGGGAAACCCACTAACTTTCTGTTTGCAGGGCCAGGACTAGTGCGAGGTGAGGAAGGCACTTGCCTTGGGTGCAACATTTAGTGGGGCACGAAAATGTTACTGTTATCATCACCCCGTTTTATAGCTCCATGGAAACTGAGGCAGAGGGGACATTGCTTGCCCAGAGTCCCACTGGGCGACAGTGCTGTTCACACACAGCCTTGCCCTCTGACCCGCAGTGCTGAGGGAGAGGGATAGAGAGTTAGAAACATCAATGAGAGAGAAACATCAATCAGCTGCCTCCTGCACACCCCCTACTGGGGATGTGCCCACAACCAAGGTACATGCTCTTGACCAGAACCGAACCTGGGACCCTTCAGACCGCAGGCCGATGCTCAATCCACTGAGCTAAACCGGTCAGGGCGACAATGTTACTGTTATCATCACCCCCGTTTTACAGCTCCATGGAAACTGAGGCAGAGGGGACATTGCTTGCCCAGAGTCCCACAGGGAGGCAGGGCTGTTCACACACAGCCTTGGCCTCTGACCCGCAGTGCTGGTCCGAGTTGGAC